ATTGGTGGCTGAGGTAGAGTAGATACTTCATTCCTAATTGGCTGAAGTGAAAACCCACCCAGTGCTGCACAGAAAGAGGTTTGCCCCATTACAGAAGATGTGGAGCTTATGGAGCATTTACTTGAATTTTGTAACAGGTAACTGTGAATTAACCTTGAGAATTTCAGATTTTAACTGAGTGAAGTGACTTCAAGTGCCTTTTGCAGTATTTTACAAAGGGGGAAGAAAAGAGCTGGGTGACCAGGCTCAGGACACCAAATGGACTCACAAATATAATTATGGACTCACAAATATAATTATGTAAGTAGTCATGCAGCCTTCCTGCAGGTCCCTGCTGTGCCACAGCATCCTTCAGTGATGTTTTCTAATCCTCAAATGTGCTTTCTAAGAACTTAATTCCCTTAAATTACCACATCTTTGTGTCTAAGGTGGAAATAGCTGTTTTTTACTATATTGGAGGCTCATTTCTCAAACAATCTTGTTCTTTGAGGAACAGTAGGAGGAAAAGGAGGAAGAGGAGTAGTGAGTAGTACTCCCTTCACCCCAGGCCCTGTGTGTATGACTAGAAAGGTGAAGCACACAGGTAGCAGAATTTACTTAGGAAGAGGGTGATGAGCAAATATTTTAGAAAATGCTGTGGTAAATATTTGTGTTTTTGACGTTTGCCTCAGCCCCTCACTAGAAATACATTGGATTATCTGCTGCTAACAAGCAGATTCTGCCACCCCCTCAGTGATGAGTACGACTTCCTCCAGCAGCGTTAAGTCTGTTCTTAGCAGCTGTGTCAGTATTTTGTATTCAAACAGAAGTGGTCAAAACTTTTCCAATCCATAATGCAGATTCATCAAAGACACAGCTTTGCTGGGGGAGGAGATCAGTTTTGCTAAGTTTGTGTTGAGAAGCGCTTGGCACCAGCACACAGCCAGAGGTTCCTGCAGACAGTGAAACTGTGTCACTGTAGGCCTGTGTAACCCTGTGTGCTGTAGCCCAGCACTGATCATACCAGTGTGGGCACAAGGGATTCCATGAAAGCCAAGGCTGCAGATCCCTGGCTAAGCCTGAGATGCCAGATTCACCTGCCAGCACTTCCTTCTGGGTAGCAGTGCGCAGAACAAGGGTGTGCCACCACATCCCAGCCTTGGGGCAGCAGCTGGCACCCTCCCCTGTCCCACCCACCCCCATGGCAGCACACTGGCACACATCCAGTCCCACTGGGAAATGGAACCAGCTGGGAAACCCCTCCCCTGGTGCTGGCTTGGCACGGGGCACTCCAGCTCTCTTAAGGTGTGGATTATGAAAGGTCTCTCCGCATGTTTCTGTTGTTTTACTCACAAGAATCAAAAAACTATAAACATTAAATGATGGGGGTTTTTCTGACTCAACATCAGATCACAAACCTTCCCTGGCTCTCTGGGGACACTGCTCCATGGAATGATAGCACTGGAGAGAGGCACCACTCTCCTCCATTAGCTCAAGTTCATAATGAAGTAGTTGAACAGGGATTGCAGTTGAAATGGCATGCAGCTTGGGACAAGACATTTTTGGCTTAATAGAACAAAGTGTCATTTTTTCTCCAATTTACTTCCTTCCTGCTCCTTATTTCCAGCCAACCATACACATTAAAGCCTACTTGCAATTTCAGAATAATTGACAAAGCCTGTAATTTTGAGAAAAAGCATCTCTGGACTGAATGAGGGTGATTCTAAAGGTCCAATGTGTCAGCGTTGGCTTTTATTTTGTATCATCTGACCTGGCTGTGATAGTGTTACATTCATAGAAACACTTATTTATTTAATTTTTTAAAATTTTCATTGCATGTGTTCAAAGAAAAACCATGCTTACTGGCTTAGGTGGTTAAATGTGGGTGCATGGATGTAAATATTGAAACCCAACTGTGGGACATTTCAGAAGAAATTAGAGATGCTTTTTACTGTGGTGAGATGGACTGCAGCAACCTTGTGTTTGTGTATCTTGCAGACTAAATACTTAATAAAGTATTGTTGTGTTTTAGGATACAACAGAAAAAAGGTATTTATTAAAAAGTGAACATTTGGTCAAGCAGAAACTGTGTCTGGGGTTGAAATAAAAAGCAATGTTCTGTTTTCAAGAAAGGAGTCTGAAAAAAAAAAGAAAGTACATGGGTAGGATCATTTGAAGGTTCTACTAATTTACTGAAGCTAAAAGCCAGCACTGCCTTGTCATCTAGTATCCACCTGTAGAGTTCTGTTACAATGCTTGGTAACCATGTAAACTGCTGTTTTTGTATGATCTGAACACTTTCCATGGACTTGCCTTGTAAAACAAAGCATTTATTTGCCCCAGAGAGGCAGGATTCATTGGCCACCACCCAATGATGTAGAAAGTTTACAGCCTGATTTTACATAAATGATTTTTTTGTTCTATATAAGCTTACCTGGTTTAATAGACCATTAATAAAAATGCCATAATATTTAAAACAGTTTGAATGGGACTTTTTTCCTTTCTATTCAGTAAAAATGAAGAAAGTTTGATGTTTGTAGACTGAATTGACTGTATGGGGGGGGGGAAGTAAAGTAGATAATATTCCACAGAGGTACCTTGAAGGCTATTTGTGTTCTTAGGAAATCACTGTCTCCAGATAACACATTTGTAAGCTGGAGAATGTCTTCAAGTGTATTTCCACCTTTAAAAGAAATCAATGCCCAGGTGACTTAATAAACTGCGATTAATGAAATGGTCCTCAGAACACCAATCATTGTTTCTTAAGCAAATGTCAATTATGACAAGCTTGTTATATTTAAAATATTTCAGCTTGTAGCACGGAAGAAGAAATAAGCTCCTATGACATGTAGGAACAAACAGCATTTGGAAACAGTGGACAGCAGGAAGAGATTAAGGTATAAAGCATCAAACAAAGAGGCTGGGAGTCAGCTCATCCACCTTCACATGGCCACAGAGCCAGGCTGACAGACTCCATTCCCTTAAGCACCAATGGACAGAAATGGGCCTTTAAAGGATACAATTTACCTGACCTCATCTTACACCCAGGGCAGCTTCAGCTTTCTACAGAAATTGATGCCTGGTGTTAAAAGCACCTAAAATGGCCTTCACATTTTGTGCCCAGCTTCTGCTGTGATTCCAAATTTTCTTTTTTCCTGGAAGAGTTTCACTATTCCAGGACATTTTTGGTACAGCAAGGTCTCACTCTAAGAAAAGTGGTGTCAAACACAGTAAGATTTCCATATCTAATAAAAAGCCATTAGTTTCAGTATGTATTTATTTGGATAGGTACCATATGAAATCACCTAATATAAGAAAATCACTGACGGTAAATCCTTTAAAAGCTATTTTATTTATCTTGAAAGGCAAGAAACTGATTAGTTGTATAAAATAATATTGTACATTTGATGTAAAGCCTTCAGTCTGTTTGAACAAAAAAAATACATTGTCACAGTAAAGAAAGAAGGAATCTGTGTAGATACTGGACTCTGTATCATCCCTCCAGCCAAAGGACTGCTGGAACAGAGCTTACAGTCAGTGCATCCCAATGTTAACATATATCCTGTCTGTAAAACTGCAGAAAGTGAGAAAATAAACATAAGGTATTCTGGAAAGTTCTGTACATTTTTAGTAAGGAAGCTGGGGCCATACTGAGTCTAAAACTCCCTCAATATTATTTTTAAATTAATTTACAGTTTTTGCTGCTCATAGAATTTTTAGTAGTTCTAGGGTTAGCTTTGAATCAACACAAGAACTTTAAAAAACTTCCTACTTTAGGTACTCTAGGATCTGCTAAACAATCTGTAAATAAGCTCCCTGGAAGACATTGGTTTAAAATGTTTGTGCCATTAATAGCATGCTTTTTGACTGTAGCTGTTCTTGACTTAAGAAGCTGCAAAAGCTAAATTCATAAAAATGGGTAATTTTGAAGCAGGACAATTGATTTGCTTATATTTTAATCCACTGGAAATAAAACGTGCTTTTGTTAATTGGCTATTTTAACAAAACTTTCTTGCTGCAAGAAAAGTTCCAGTATCTGAATCAGTAACTTACAAATACAAAATATGAAAAAAGTATTGGATGGCTTTGTTTGGGTTTTTTTACTAGTTGCAACCATTGACAAGTTGCCCAATTATCTGCCTTTTCAGTAAAGGCAGAAGGGTTTTCCCAAGGTGGGTTCACCACGTTCAGGTTTCTGCAGATGCTGCAGTAAGGCCAACGGGGGTGCCCTGTGCTTTTAGAGACCAGGCTGCTCTCACCTGCAACCCAGCTGGAGACACAGCTTCCAGCTGCTCCTCAAGCCCTTTGGCTTGGCTACAGTGAGGTGAAAATTTGAAGAAATCAAGAAAATTCTACATCTTTAAAATTTTGAAATCTTGTGTGTACCAGGTATGGTTTAGGTTTGTTGGTTTTTGGGGGGAGGGTTTGTTTTGTCTTGTTTTTTCTTGTAATACTTGAGATTTCCCAAGATAAGAAAGGGCACATCAATTACTCTGCATATGGGAGGAAGCTTCAGCTTCTGGGAAGTTTCAGTGTGGGATTCTGGGATGAATCTCTATGGGATTCATACTCCATGAAATTCAAACTAAGGGACAGTGTAACTGCCTTCCAAAATGACACTGGGGTGGGAGCTGGGGAAGCAAAACTACAAAATGCCAAGTGTTGGTGTCAGTAGTAAGGCTATGAAATGATTTCACTTTGAATTCAGGTTGTACTCTTGAGGTGAGGCCCCTTTTCTGCAAGGCCCCCAGCTGCTGTCCCATTTAATTTAATAAGAATTTGATGTGCTAATTATGAACAGAGACAGGAAGTCTTTGCAGTAATTGGCCCACCATTTTCAAAATTTGTAAATAATGAAAATCTAATAATCAAAGCTAAGAAACAAAATTAGTGCATTTCAAAATCATTCTAGCTAACATTTCACCTTTAGACATAAAAAATTCAATCCAACGAGACCGAACTGGCTTAAATCAGTAATGCTGCAACAGGAAATTCAGACACTTTCCAAGACTTTTAAAAAATATATAAATTAAATTCAGTGGCTTACATTGTATATATGCTACATCATTAGGCAAAATATAATGGAAAACATTTAACAATTTAAAAGTACAAATGTTTTCAACTAGCAGTTTGGAACTGAAAGCAACTAAAAAGCAATTCTATTAACGAAGGCTGTAAAACAAAAACAATCTTAAGAGAGCTGGCAGTGCAGCCCCTGGTCCTGAGAAGAATCTCACTTATCTTCAGTGGCTGAGGTATCATTTCCATCATTCAGCTTCTGCTTTTGCATTCTTGTTCGAGTAGATGCTACAAGAAAACCCAACAAAGAAAAAGAATGAAATATTTCTTCATAATTACTTTGGACTGATTATTGGAAAAATTTGTAATGACACAAGAAATAGAAGTACATTATTCTATTGTAAACAAACCAAATCCCTCATTATAGGATGAACACCTGATTTTGCACTGTTTCAGCCATTCTTGCTCAATCTTACAGATCTTATGAAATTCCTTCCACCTGTTCACTCCAGTTCTCATTGTCTCTGTCCCCTCACTGTGTCCATTTCCACCCTCCAGGCGGGCAGATGGTCCATGTCACATCAGGAATCTCGCCAGGCAGAGGCCGTGGGCTGAGCAGTGCCCACGTCCCAGAGACAGCCTGCCCAGGAATGCCTTTTCCCCTCAGTGGCACACACCAACACTATTGGACACAAGACAGAGCTCTCCTTCTTAACCCCTACCATAAATCAACACTGAAACATTTTCCCTACCTTAAAACAGAGGTGCCTGGATCCACACTCATACCTATCTTGATGAGCAGTGTAAGAGTTTTTAATGGGCAAATCTGCTCAGCTGCAGAGCTCAGATTCTCAGAGAGTGAGAATGCCTGGCCAGGCCAAGTGTGCTCCTTCTCACAAGTGGAAAATACAACTCAGACATGGGGGTGGGGCTGTTTTGCTTTTTATGAGCTAGATTTGAATTTCATTTCAAAACAGAAAAGTGATGCCATAAGATCTGAAAGAAATGCTGACCCACAGCAGAAGAAAAAGCAGTCTCACACATTTCCCTATAAAAGCAAAGCAACAAAAAACCTACATACGCTTTTCCTGTGTACATAAATTTCCATTTTGTAATCTACATTTTCAAGATTATATGCAGGAAGTACAAAAGCTAAGCAAATTATCCAGATCACATCAGTGTTGAACAATGTTTTCATCTGAGTGGGCCCAAGCACTCTTATCCAAGGCACTCAGGGCTCTACAGATTATGAGAAAAGTAACACTCACTCATTTCTGCAAGCTTTTGTTGGAACTTGGACTCCTGGGGTAGGTGTTTGCTACAGAAAGAAAGCATAAGATTAAGTTAACTTTTTACCTTCATAACCTAAGCTTTAAATAAAGAGAGTCACTTTTTGACATCAAAGCATGTAACTGAGGAGCTTCATGCTTCCACTTCTCATTTGATTCAGCTGCTAAAGCTCACAAATTAACACGAGAGAGGGTATCAGGAGGAAGTTAGGATGAAGGCCCTGAGACCCCAATACATGCCAGATCTCTGAAAAGCCCAGGGCAATCTCTCACCTTCCATCTGCCTCGTCCGTCCCCTCTATGTCGAAGCGCAGCCTCTTCAGTGGCTTCGGGGCAGCAGCTCCCACATCTGCACTGCGCTTCAGCTGCCCCTCACTGTTGCACAACATCTGGTTGATTTTTTGGAACTTTTCAGAAGTCTGAAGTGACAAGAAAACAGGGAAAGAATTGCCAATAAATCCTGAAACCACTCCAACTTTCCAGATGATCCAAAAAAATTAGGAGTTCTTAAAACTCTGGAGTTTTAAGGACCCTTATCTTGTGCCAAAGCCACTAAAATAAAATGCAACACATTTTGAAGGTGAAGTCTAGATATTTGAAAGGAGTTACCAGAACTTCCCTATAATTACTTTAGTAAATCAGGTACACTCATTGGTCTGCTCTAGAGATGTGAGCAGGCTACCCCATTCCTCCAAAAGTTACATGCATTTAAGACCAGGCATCAAAGATGTTAAAACTCACCCCAAATGATTCTCCAATGGACACCAAAATTCTGCCAAATGAAGAAGAGAAGTTTAAGCTCCATTTAACAATGACAGAAGCATTCACTAACTTGCACAGGTTAGCACAAGGCATTAACAAGGTCTCTTCCTCTCTCTGTGTTAACAGTGCAAATCCACACTGTGCTTTACTGTGTTGAGACATTTCTCTTTGAGCCACTGAATGCTCAATCACCAAATGAACTGAATCACACAGATAGACATGAAATTATGGCTTGAAAGAATCAGAGGCCCCCAGAGTCTGTCCTGTATCAGAAAGAAAAGCCTTCAGTGCTGGGTACCCAGAAAATCATCCTCTCATCTCTACCTTCAGGTGTCTGCTAATCAAAGTCATGCAGGACTTCAACCTAAAGTACACAATAACATTTAAACTTCTGTGCACAGTGGGACTCACTTGATCCTAGTCTAAAAAGCCACTGGAAACTGGTAAATTTACTGTCATCCTCATCTGCTAAGAGCCAGTAACCAACAGTTTGAAATGTTCTGTTCAGCCAGCTAAACAAACATTTTGTTGCAAAAAAGTATTTTCTCTTTAAAGGAGCTGACAAAGCTCATCTGTGTTTTTCAGGAGTGTGATGCAGGGTCAAAGCCAACAACATTTATAGCAACCAGGTCAGGAAACTCTTCTTTGGTGGGGGGGGGGAAAAAAAAAAGAGGAAAAAACCAACAAAAAACCTCCTTGAGCACAACAGAAAAGCACTGAATTATGAATAAAGATTCCAAATACAGGATAAAAACTATTAATAGAAATTATATGATAGCCACAGACTACTGACAAACTAGACTGCAGTTTTTCAATTTGCTTCTACTAATATCCCCCAAATACCTAAATTTAGTCCAAAAATGCTTGTCAACAACGTACCTAGACCTTGGAGTCATCTTTGTGGGTGACTGAAACCCATCAGAGAATTTGTAGGGGCTCTTGAGAGGTGAGATGTAGATGTTATTGCCAGCAGGGACACGCCGAGGAGAGTTGGAGAACTGGTAAGGACTGCGAGGAATGTGTGGGATTGGTGACAGAGTGGGAGGCTATAAAAATAATAAAATAATTATAAGGTTTGATTGCCTATATATCTGTAGTCTGTTGAATAATGAACAGAGATAATGGCTTACCCTGCTGGAAGCATACTGCAAAATGTTTGTTTTCAGCTTCTGCATGAACACTAAGTTGTAAAAGACTATGATGGAGTCATATTGTTCTTCTCGGATAAGAACACGCTTGAAAGTCTGCATAGAGTGAGAAAATCATACACAGATTAAAAAAATACAAGGAACAAAAATTTTACATTTGACAAACTCATAAAGTCACTCAAAGTCTGTGTTATATTAAGAGCTAGGATGGCACATGAGTTGTATGCAAGCCATTGAACCTTCTCTAAACTGCTGGGATTTTTCCAAATGTGTATGAACACCAGCACCTACTTCATTATCTGGCACAGCTCCTTGGTGTGAGCACAGTTCTAACATTTTCCAAATTTAAGAACGATTTGCTTTCACACCCATGTGTCAGAAAGTCTAGACTACTGTGCATGCCTTGGAAGGCTAAAAAACTCATTACTGACCTGATGGGGATAAAATAGTTCTATAGGCTTGGAGACAGAAGTCTGGAGTTTAGCCAAGATCCACAAATACACTATGAGAAATTTTGCTACTGAGGGGATGCTACAGTTCCATTAACTGGTGAGGGTTTTTCTATAGATTTCATTACTGTGCTGTGCAAAAATTTTAGTACATTGAAGTTCCTGTGAAGGAAGGAACTTCTTCATGTTAGAATTAAGCCTGCAAATTTAATACATACACAGCTGTTTGATATATAGCCATACATCTCTATTTGCTATCAAACCATGTTTCTGTCGAAAGCTTCTGTAGAAAGTAATCTGCTTCTCTTCCCTTAATGCTCCAAGGAAGTTAGACAACTCATAAAGAAACTTGTGTTACTTTTGAAAATCTTATTAGCTCTAGACATAAATTTTTCATCTAGACTCCTAATACAGTCATAAACCATTGTTACATATTTTTCAAAAGATGGAATGAAATTTGTTTTCTGAGGAGAGTTACCAAACTATTTATGCAAGATGTTTAAGAGATATTTAGTATCAGAGTCAGTTTTCTCCTCCACAAAATGGAGATGCAGTGAAGCAGAAATTTTCCCTTTTTTTTTTATGGAGGAATAACATTTAAGAACTTCCATACCTCTTGATTTGTGTTGCAAAGCTCCTTGTATGCTGAAACTATCATTTTAAATCGAAGATCTACATTCTTTACTTTGCATATGCCATACATGGAACACATCATGATCTATTAAAGAAACAAGACAACTGAAAATTAATTCAGCTTCTTCATTTCAAGTTAAGAAATAACTTTCTTTTACTGATTGTGCTCTATAAACTAGCAGACACCTCAACTTAAAAGGAACTTTTAGAACATAAGTTAACATAATGCTACCTCTGTTTCTATGTGACAAAAACTAATTGGAGCTGATGGTACCTTCTCAAACTCCTACCATATGCTGCAATTTTAGAGTAGAATAACAAAAAAATGATCAGCCACACATATTGTCTTTGCAGAGAAAATCACTATATTTTTATGCAAATTATTAGAAATTGTGGTCAGTCTTTGTTATTTTGTAAAAAGCTCAAAATTGTATTTGAAGGTGCCATATCAAGTAATTGCCAGTGCTTAAAAAATTGAGATGACAGACTTCAGTCTAAACTAAGTCCTCCTTTCAGTGATCAAGAGATTAATAAAAACCCCAGAGTACAATTTCTAATGGCTAAGAACATACAAAGAACATTTTGTTCAGGAGAGTCTTTTTAACTTTTTAAAACTTTTTTTGTCCTTGTTACCTGGTCCAGGTGCCTGTCTCTCATTAGCTCATACTCATTTTGCAGTGTGTGCTGGAAGAGGGTCCAGATCAAGGGTTCCAGGTCAGGATGGTCGGAGAGAAGGTGAAGGAACAGGGTATGGAGTCGACGATAGGCCAGTAGATACACTTCAGAAACAAAGAAAAATAAACTGCAATTGTTCTAACAGGAGCACACAAAATGAAAGGAATGTAATGAAGGAGAGACAGCATTGTGCTGCTCACTGTCTGCAAGGAAAAAATCTACCAGACATCAAGTGAAGGTAGTAGAAGCCAGGCTCAAAATAAATGGAAAAGATTTTCATACAAGAGACAACAGACAACGTGGAAGGCCACAGCAAACACCACTGCACATGCCTATGTCAATTCAAACAAGCACCTGGAACACAAATCTGCTGAGAGTTACTAAGCAGACACAGCACAAAAGGTTCAGCAAACCCCCCAAGTGGGATAAAGATCAAGCCTGGGAAAGCACCAGCCGTGTCTGCCCAGTTGTCCAGCTTCACAGGACATCTCTGCATGGTCACTGCTGGGAAAAGGATGCTAGGACAGAAGAGCCCATATGGACATTCTTCCAGCCAGGATAGGGAGGTTTTCACTTCTAACTCACAGAGTGCACACAGGAACCACCTGCTGGCACCATTCTGCCCTTTCTTCCAGAGGTTTGCCTGGTGTTCACTACAGATTCTACAACAAACTTTTCAGAAATGCTCACTGCCAAAACTCTAAAGGGATAAAGAGCAAGAGATAACTTTGCAATGTCAGCACATGCAGGAGGAACAAACCTTTCTTGTAGAACAGAGAGAGGGAGGTAGATTTCTGCAGTTTCTGCGGTGTTTGGGGGGTCACAGCAGGTGGAACATCTGGAGGGGAAGTAGCACTTAGAGGAGGTCCAGATGCCTTCTTCTTAGGAGATTTCACAGGAGAAAGATAGCTGGAGGTTCAACATATATTAAGCATTTAACATCACAGAATGAAGAAATTTCATTATTCAATTCTATATGAATAACACTTGCAGGAACTCTTCCCTTTTCCCCATCAGAAGAAATAAATTGCTATTGTGACCTGTTATCCCCAACACCTGATACAGGGACTTGTTTATTCCTAGGCAAGTGATGTAACAGTTTACAATTACATATTTTATAGGGGTGGGGAAAAATATTTCAACAGTTGATTTAACTTTCAATGTATAATAAATATCTGCAAATACAATGGTTTACCAAAACTTAAGTACCAAGCCTAAGAAGTAGGAAAACAGAATACAGGTGGATGTGAATATTAAGGGTAATATCAATTATATTAATATTAAGGGTAATATTAATTTCACATTTCCCTAGACCTCAGGCATTCACTTACAGGTCTGCAGCAGTGTGGTTATGCTGGAAAGGTGTACTGGGAGTAGCAGTGGGTTCAGGCTGATCAGCTTGGCCTTCTCGCTCTTTCGACTGCTTGATAAGATCAAACAGAGGCGACCCCTGGAAAAATGACAGGAATCCTGCATCACACTAAGAACAGGCAACAACTCTGAATGGATTTAGTTCCTTCTCTAAAATCAACCACCAAAATGTGAACCTCAACAGAAGGCTAAAGCTTTGAAATACTTCAGAACACTCATACTTTGCAAGATGAATTTTAACCATTTAACTTTGAGCTATTAAATACATCAAATGCTTTTTTCCTGTTTCAACAGCAGTCCATTAGATATAAGTTAACTGCAGATTTGAGACAATTGTATTAGTTGTATTCTAGAGTCCCTTACTACTTCCTATTAAAGCTATTTCTGAAAAGAGGAATAATCAATACAGCAAAACAGACAAAATGTCACATTTCAAACAACACAGAACAATACTAACAAAAAATTCTCCCAACCACCCCAAAAAATCCAAAACCAAACCAACCAAACAACCAACACCCAAAACCCAAAAAACCCCACCAAAAAACATCTGAAGGAAACCTCAGCCCATTGGTGACTGGAAGTTACTGTTGTATCTGTCAATCCATTTTTGCTACAACATCTACCCAATATTTTACATTTAACAATATATAATATATAAATAATATATAAACCACAGTCACTTAACTGCACTGAGGACTATTTTGTCTCTGCAGTATCAGGTTCCAGAGCCACCTCTGGAGAGAGTTAGAGTGACTCATGGCCCAAAGCAAACCCTAATTATGATTTGAGGCAAACTACCAGTACTTTAACCAAGTCCTCTGGAATACATCAGAAATAAAGAGCTCGAGGCAGGACATGAGAGAGAAGGAGCAGAGAGAATGTAAGTGGAATGGAGGAGATTCTGGCTGAAACCACATCTGCCCTTCTGCTGACATTAGTAATAAACAGCAGTCCTGCAGAAACAAAGTCTCAGCCTGTCTGCATGTCACACACAATAGAATGATGCTGAGACAGCAAGACCACATGGGAAAGTATTTTGACACCATATTTATAAATAAATTTGAAAGAACAGGGTTGATGGCTTCTGTTTGTTTTATTTTCTTCAAAAAGCACTCATCCTTGAGCACAGTGTTGCCTCTCACCAGTGCAGCATCAGAACCCTGAAGCAACAGAGGAACATTTGAGTAGCAAATATGTGCCTTCTTGAGAGTGAGAGGTGGGGGAAGCAGTGTCCATGAAACTCAGGATTAAGTGGGCAAAACCATACATGCAACATTTTCCTCAAATGATCTTCCCAAAAGACAGCAGTAACATCTGTCAGCTCATTGCTCTGTACACAATGCACTGTCTGATGGCTCCTGGTCTGTTTGATCTTCCAAATGCACATTTTAGTTATTAAAATTCACTGGCACAGATGAAAAAATCTATAGCTATGAACAGGAGCACAGCATGCATGAAAAGCATGCAGCATCACCTGGCTAAGGCAATAAGAAATAACCTAGTAAAATTAGACTGCATTTACTAGAATTGAAACTAGCAGTAAGACATTCCTTATTTAGACTTATTCCTAAAAAAAAACCCCACCTTTTTTTAAGTGTATCAAATAAAAATTCAGAGTAACAAGATGAGAGTGACAAGATTTACAATTTTTCATACTGCAAGTTTTAAATTATGATTTTGGCAATAGTGGAGCTGTTTCATCCATAGCAGAAAAAAACCCATCAGTTAGTGATTCATAACCACATAGTTGTTTCTCCATCATTTCTCAACCAGTTCAGCTCTTGGGCTGGTTTGCATCATTTTTCCCTTCATTTAGGAGTGCACGCACATCTCACTTGTGTCCCTCAGTGCTGCCCTTGCTGGAAACACAGGCACATGACCTCCATTTCTCATTCTTCTGGCCACTTGGCCTCTTCCTTTTTTATTATTCCCACCAGCACTTCACTTTGCTCTGAGGAGCCCAAATTTGTTTCCCAGAGCAATCATTGCTGAAATATCTTGACTAAGAGTGAATCCTGCTTCATTTACATCACATTTTAGTGATTAGTGACTGGAAAAGTATTATTTTAATGAAGGAGGAAAAGAGGTTGATGAAAGGGAATGAGAGGTCTAGAAAGAGAAGCAAAAGTTACTGTTCTTGAGTTAGCACTTGAGACCAGCAGTTCCAGGTCCTCTCTCACCCCTGCTCCAATTTTGCTCACATTATTCTGAGTGTGATTCCACTAGATAAGGTATGGGGACACAGCAGTTTGTTACACACAGAAGGATCTGCCTATTTCTGCATCATTTCCACTCCTCTTCTACCTGCCAGCCTCAACAACCAGGCAACCCCCACATACGTCAACTAAACCATCAGAAAGCTAACAGAGAAAGCAAACCCAGATTTAAATCTGCTCTGCAGAGAATCACAGAGCCAGAACAAGCACTAAGAACAGACAGGGCAGCCACACCACGAAGGCTGGGAGCAGAGCAGAACACAAAGTACAAGATGCTGTGCATTTATTGACAACAACCTATTCCACAGCCTGATTAGCATGTGGAATTTCATCTGACAGGAATGTAAGAGAACTGACTGCTGCTTTCCATCAGTTAGATGGGCTACCTTCAGCAAGAGGATATTTCTGTGTAGAAACATCTACCCATAGAGCTCGAACAGCAAGATGCAGAGAGTCCCACACATCTCTTCTGGTTCCCACAAATACTAATTGATGCTGTGGTTAGAAAGCTGGCAAGACAAAGAGGGTGCTGCAAGCCACCTGGCCCCAGCAGTGCAGAGCTGCCAGCACCAGCAATGGCAGGCTGTGAGAAAGCCCATTCAGTGCACGTCCCTGGGCAAACCACAGCCTTGTCACCTGTGCTAGCTGCACAAACCTGTCAGCCGTGCGGCTGCACGAGCAGAAAGAGGTTATTTAGCTTTCACACCTGGTGACATTTAAAGCAGGTGTTTTGCTGATCACCATTTCCACCTTCCTCTCAGACTTTAGCAGCCCCCTCTGCTCTTTCCCCAGGGACCCCCACCACTCTCACAGGAACCTTTCCAAGTGCATGGCCACGCAGTTGGAGAAGTAGGTGCTGCACTGACAAGACTGATGCCTCACAAAAACCCGTGTGTGCCACAATGCAGAAACACAGAGAGAGGGGGTTTCTCAAGTGCAACTACCCCCACGCTGTAAAACTGATGGATTTAATTACAACCATGTCTCTTTTCTTTATACTTGAAAATGAAAAACGCTTCTATTCTGTGAATTCAAAGTGCATTCTGCAGCTTGCAGGGCGTTTCCAAGCTTATCAGGGCAAATTTCAGCTTCAGTCCACAATTTGGTATTCAAGAATCAAATGAGAGAAATACAACATCATTTACCAAGCAATTACCAGTCCTCTAAGTAATAATCACAGAAGAACTTTAACCCGCAGGCCCAGCTTAATTGAACAGGAATATTTATCAGGAACTCGTTTCTAAAGCCGTGTTATTCACGCTACCTTTACAAATTTCATATTGCTTTTTAAAGCTTTTAAGCAGCACTTAAGGTGAACAGGTCACCTCCAATGCATTGCTTTAACATGAAAGGAGATTTGCAATTTGTGCATTAATTTAATGCTCAGTAAGTGATTAATGTTACTAGATGCAGCCACAGAATGAATTTCAGTAATTAAGCTAAATGCTGATTTTAATTCGAGACCTTCCCTGTGATGGCTACAGAAACCTCATTTTATTAGTGCAAAAAGTGAGAAAGCAAGAAATGAAGAGTTAAAATTTCTCAGGGTCAAAAGGCTGCTGGAACCAGAATCAAGAATAAGGCTGAAGTTTGACTCAGTTCCCTCTCAAAACATCCAGGGCTAACTAACTCTCCAAGGCTAAACTGTGCATTAAGTGGGGCTTTGTTAAGAGTGGCTTTGCAGGATGCCTCCCTGCAGCAACACTTACATCACAAGCATCTGCAGTGATTTTTCCCTGTCTGAAAGCTCCTTTTATGGAAAAAACAGGCAGATTTCCTTATTTGCTACTCTTTATTTGGCTACAGTTAAACTACAGGACACACAGGTGCTTCCCTGCTTTCCAATCTTTGTATATTGGCTTTATCCCAGCTACATGTTTAATTGGACTTTGGTTTCCATGAAAATATTTTTAAAAACTCTAAATCCTTATATATGGGGAAGAACCTCCCAGGGATTTGGGTGTATCCACTGACCACAGAGGAAAAGCCCTGAGCAGCTTTACTCTAAACAGTGCTATTAGTAGTTCACTACTAAAAAAATCTGCTTTTGTCTTTGTTTTCTGTATGCTTTATGTTTTTGTTTTTGGTAATAATTTCCTAATGTATTTTCAGGTTTTAGTCATCTGTTCACATTAAATTTTAATGCAGTGTTTAGCACTTAACTATGTATATATCTCAATGCCAAGGTCCCTTGGGTGCTGGGGTTTTTTTTGCCTCGGGCTTTCTTTTTTTCTTTTGCTTGTTTTCAGATTATTAAACCAGTCAATACAACACATAATGCTAAGACATGTTCTTCTTCATAATGTTATAAAAGATGGAAGTGATTTTGTAAGGCAAAACAGAGCCAGTTTAGAACTGACAGCTTTGGAATGGAAGTGCAAGGACTGGATCAGCACCAGCTATTTCCAACCCTCTTTCCCAAGGGAAAACTGCATGCCCAGAAAGTTGGCTTTTGTTTGCAACTGTGTTTTCAGAAGATTCACATAACAATTGGTTACCAGAATTCTGAAATAATTCAGACCTGCTAAAACAAAGTAGATGTCACAGTCTATAACTGAAATAGTATTGATCATTAAAAAAAATCAATAAAATTAAGGATTGTGTCCTAATTTCACACAAGAGTTGTGTTATATAAATTATGTTCGTACTGGGGCTTGTTTTTATGAAATTTACAAAGAAAAGCATTAAAATCTACATTGTTAATAGTTTAATTCATTTAAGAATACTGGCAGATCTGCTTTTCACTCCAAACAGTGTGTGTATGTTTAATACATGTCCTATTCCTATCTGACTCACCTTGAGCATTTAAGAGCCATCCAGCTTTGTGAGGATCTCCTTTCATCTACTGATAAAGGAGTTCAAA